TACATGCCCTTGATTGGAATCGAACCCGGGACCCTTCAGTCCCCAAGCTGACGCTCTATCCTTTGAGTCAAACCAGTCTCGACCGTTTATTGATTGAGAGAAACATTAATGTTAAAGAGAAACATGGATGTGTGGCCTCTGGTTCAGACCCTGGCTGGGGCTCAGACCCACATCGAGGTGAGTGCCCTGACCCATGGACACAGAGACCCCGAGGGGACACCCCCCGCCCCTGCCCCATGGACACAGAGACCCCGAGGGGACCCCCCCGCCCCTGCCCCCTGGACACAGAGACCCCGAGGGGACACCCCCCCGCCCCTGCCTCCTGGACACAAGAGACCGAGAGGGGACACCTCGCCCCTGCCTCCCGGACACAGAGACCCCCCACCCCTGCCCCCTGGACACAGAGACCCCGAGGCGACACCCGAGCCCCTGCCCCCCGGACACAGAGCCCCCGGCGCCCAGCGCCCAGGCCGCCCCTGAGGGAGCGCTGCCCCTCCTGAGGGCGGACACGGACCTGACGCGGGGCTCCGGGCGGGAGGAGCGGGCGGGGCGGGGAGACGGGGCGGCAGGGGGCGCAGACCCACCTCAGTCGGGCTCCTCGCGCGGCCCGCCGCCTGCCTGAGGGAGGAGCGGGGGCCACGGGGCGGGAACGGGGCGCCGCCGTCACCAACGGCCTCCATGCAGCGGGGACGCCGCCTCAGCGCCGGCTTCTCCTCCGGCCCCGCACCTCCGAGGCGCGGACCCGCTCAAAAACACAAAACACAAGGCGCCGGAAGTCCTGCCTCCACACCATGCGCAGTAGGACGCGCGCCTCTCCTAAGCCTTCATTGGCCCAGCTGCTCCTCGCGCACCGAACAGGCTTCTGGGTGTTGTAGTTTCCACCGCCGCCAGCAACAGTCAGGTCTCAGTCGTAAAGTCACTCCCAAGAGGAGGATAGAGGCCAGGCGCCAGAGTCAGGGTCAGGGTCCGGGGCGCCGGGAATGAAGTTAGTCCCAGGGCTCCTGCAAGAGGGAGAGTTAGAAACATCGATGAGAGAGAAACAATGACGAGGTGCCTCCTGCGCACCTCTTACTGGGGATGTGCCTCCTGCACACTCCCTACTGGGGATGTGCCTGCAAACAAGGTACATGTCCCTGACCTGAATTGAACTTGGGACCCTTGAGTCTGCAGGCCAATGCTCTAGCCACTGAACCAAACCAGTCAGGACTTCGTCTGCTTTTAAAGGGATCAGGCTCGGATTTCTCGGGAAGTAGTTCAATATATATATTTTATTGATTTTTAACAGAGAGAAGGATAGAGAGCCGGAAACGTGGATGAGAGAGAAACATTGACCAGTTGCCTCTTGCACACCCCCTACCGGGGATGTGCCCGCAACCAAGGTGCATGCCCTTGACCGGAATCGAACCTGGGACCTATCAGTCCGCAGACCGACGCTCTATCCACTGAGCCAAACCGGCTTCGCCAATAAAATATTTTTAAAAATTACAACTACAATACAGAACCACCCGCATGGAAGCTGGCTGAACGGAAGTCTTACAGCTAGAAGAATAAAGAAAGCAAAAGAGGGGAGAGGGAGGCGCAGACCTGGGGTGGCGCTCTGGACCGCCGAGTGGCCCGCGACCCTAACCTCCCTGGAACTCTTCACGTCATTCATCAGGTCTCTGAGGCCCCGCCCCCAGGCTGTGCGTCACTATAGGGACATCCAGACCCCGCCCCCACGCTTTGCACGCAGTCCGAGCTCTTCATTGGCCGGCCGCCGCCATCTCCGCGCACTGCCTTCTGGGTAACGTAGTTCCCTCGCCGTTCCCTGGGCCTTCTGGGAAGCAGGTCATTCCTGACTGTGAATACCGGACAAGCGACCGACCGAGTGGGGGGCGCTGGGAAACGGAGTTCCGGGCCCCCCTCAGATTTCCTTGGCGTAAGGACACCCGCGCCCCCTCCTGGCCGTGGGCTGCCTCGTTGTCAAAGGCTCACTGAAGCCGGGGAGCCTTCTGAGCGCCCCCAATAGGTTTGTCTGGGGCCAAAGAAACGCCTCGGGACAGGGCTGTGATCGGGATTGGATCAGGGTGGCAGGACCCCCCTGAAGTGGCCAGGCTCTCTCCGTACCTCCGGCTGCCGCAGAAAACGCCTGTCCTGCCTGTGTGGTCAGTGACGGTGCGCCAATCCAGGACTCATCACTCCCTGACCGAGGCCCTTCCCTCTGAAGAATCTGGAAGAGGGACGTCCCTCCTCTGTCTGGATCGCCTGCGCCCAGCGAGCACCTCGCCTCTGAGGAAGGTCTGGGTGTCTGGGAGGCGGTTCGTCGTTGCATCTGTGACTGCAGCGGCAATGTCTGCCAGGGAGTTCGGGTTTCCTCTAGGAAAACACTTATGAAATGGATGTTACTGAAAGTCACATAATGATTTTGTTGTTTTCCAAGGCAAGTGACAGAAATGGCTCTGGAAGAAACGGGGGACAAGTTGGCGGGGGGCGGCGGCTAAGACTTCAGTGCCCTTTTGAGTGAGAGGCACTGAGTGTGAAAAGTCAGAGAATGACACTGAGACTGTGGCTTGCCGAGGCCTTGGCCACGAGCAGGGTTTTGGCCTCAACTGTGATTATCCTATATAATCCTACATGATAAAAGGCTGTTGTGCAAATCGACATCATGGTGGAATGGCCAGTCGCTATGCACATGCTCTGACCACCGGGGGCAGATCCTCGATGCAGGCGCTCTGCCTGGTGGTCAGTGCTCCCACAGGAGGAGTGCTGCTCAGCCAGAAGCCGGGCTCACGGCTGGTGAGCCTCTCCCGCCTCTGTAGCAGCGCGAAGGGTGTCTGTGCCGGCTTAGACCCTCTCCCCAGAGAGCAGACGTCCCCAGAGGGCTCCCAGACTGAGAGGGTGCAGGCGGGGCTGAGGGAGCCCCGAGGGAGCCCCCTAAGGCACATCACAATACATAACAGTAGCAAAATCACAGTTATAAAGTAGCAACGAAGGTAATTTTATGGTTGGGAGGTCACCACTACATGAGGAACTGTATTACAGGGTCCAGGCATTAGGAAGGTTGAGAACCGCTGCTCTAGGCAAAAGTTAAAATTACAAGGGGAAACTTTAAAAAGCATACACGTTTTGTGTCAGATGAAAATAAAAACATCACCTGTAGCCCTTGCCGTCTTTCAGCGGTGGGTGGGTGAACGGTGGTCCATCCATGCATTCAGGGATCACACATACTGATGATATTCACAGCAGCTTTATTTGCAATAGCCCCAAAACTGGAAAACCACCCACATATCCATACAATGGAATAACCCCTAACAGTACAAATGAATGAACCATTGGTGCATGTAACAAGATGAGTTCATCTGAAAACCATTATGATTAGGGAAAAGAGCCAGAATCCCATTCCCAGCAGAAAGCACAAAGACCTAGAAAAGGCTGCAGTTTGCAAATTGCGGGAAACGGTTTGAAAGGCTGGGAGGAAAGGCCTCTAACAGAGTCCCTGTGCTGCTGTTGGACATGGTCACTGTCCTGGTTTCCGTCATGTTTCCTCAGGCGTGTACACATGACAAAGCATGTCACACTCCTCATATGTGCCATCTTTCATGCCAATCACACCTCGATAAAAACACGCGTACTTGCCCTCCCTCCTGCCAGGTCACGTGTGCCAGCTATTTTGTGCTACCAGGTCCCTCGCCCCAGGATGTAGAAGGGTGAGCCCCAGAGAGAGGCGTGAGATCCATTTCCACGTCACACACAGGGCCTCCGGGTCCTCCCACCTCCTCTCAGTGAGGGGCATGACGGCCAGGCCTCAGCAGCCAGGGAGGAAAGGAGACACAGTAGACGCAGACGCCCGAGGTCCTGAGACCTGTGCCCTCTCTGCCTCCACGGCTTTGTAGATGGCCTTTGTAACAGACACAGACCCTCTCGTCTGCCGGTCAGCCCCGCGCAGAGGTCCAAGTATTGCTACACGGAGCATGATTCGCATGCTGCCCTGTGGCCCTCCAGCGGCTGACACCCGCCCACGCATTCTGGTCACCGGGGACGGCTCCTGCACAGATCCAGGGGCAGAGGTCCCCCAAACGTGCCGGGGAGGATGGGCTGTCTCCTAAGCACGGTGCTCCCAGAAGCACCGGCGGTTTCTCAGCGTGGACTCCGGGCTCCAGGAAGCCTGGGCTCGCAGGCCGCAGGGTCAGGCACACATGGTCTTGTTGCTTCCCGAGCCTCGGACAATAGTGCAAACTGGGCCAACGTGGACCGAGGCCTGTCCTCTGCCCTCCTGCTGTCCCTTCTCAGGCACATGAGGTTGGTACCAACACAGGTGTCCCTCTCTGCGTGTTGGCAGCACCCAGGTTCCTCTCAGTGGACGTCCCACAGGGAGCAGGCCCACTGAGCTGCCACGCCCCACAGCACGCCTGACCCGCGGCACACTAGAGCCGGGCAGCAGACCATGATGGGTGGGTGGAAGAGGACCAAAGGCTCACAGCTTTCATGTTTAGAGCCCCTGCTACTTGGAGAAGCGAAGCCTGTGTGGGGAATCCCCAGCAGACTCCCGCTCGGATCCTGGGGCCAGAGCTCGACCACGTCCATCAGAACCCCGTCAGGGAAGTGGGGACCTTCTGTGGCTTGAACACTTGGATTCCCTCCAGGGAATGAGCGTGTGCAGGGGTCTGCCTTCCCTGAGCATCCTGGGGTGACTGACACCTGTGGGACCCTGACAGCTGGCGGCAGCGACGGCTCTGCCATAGGCACCGGACGGCTGGGAAAGCGCACCGTCTCTCATGAAGACTCTCACCTGGGTGTCCCAGGCTGGTGCATGCACAGACGGGGCTCCCTGCAGGCTGGTGCTCCCTCAGTGCCCGTCCCTCATGAAGACTCTCCCCTGGGTGGATGGAGCTCCCTGCGGGCTGGTGCTCCCTTGGTGCCCGGTGCTCACACAGCGCCCTCCGGTGCGGGTGCCGAGGACGAACACGGCCACGGCACAGCCCCGCACTCCTAAGGCCCTTCTCTGGCGCGAGCCTCCAGGGCTACACGAGTCCAAGAGACGCCGCCAAGGGGCCCCCCAAACCGTCGCGGTCGCGAGGCCTCGCTCCCGTGTGAGCCTTCTGGTGCCGGGCCAGGTGGGAGCTCCTGCCGTAGGCCTTCCCGCAGGCGCCGCACACGTACGGCTTTTCTCCCGTGTGCACCCGGCGGTGCAGCAGGAGGCTGGAGCTGCGGCTGAAGAACTTCCCGCACTCGCCGCACGCGTAGGGCCTCGCTCCCGTGTGCACCTTCTTGTGCTGGACGAGGTGGGAGGAGCTGATGTAGGCCTTCCCGCACTCGCCGCACACGTACGGCCTGGCGCCCGAGTGCACGCGCCGGTGCAGGATGAGGCTGGAGTTGTGGCTGAAGCGCTTCCCGCACTCGCCGCACGCGTAGGGCTTGGCCCCGGTGTGGACCCGCTGGTGCACGATCAGGTTGGAGTTGTGGCTGAAGCGCTTGCCGCACTCGCCGCAGGCGTACGGCCGCTCCCCCGTGTGGGTCTTCTGGTGCTGCGCCAGCGTGTCCTTGCGGCTGAAGGCCTTCCCGCAGGCGCCGCACGCGTGCGGCCGGGCCCCGGTGTGGGTGACCTGGTGCTGCACCAGCGTGTCCTTGCAGCCGAACGCCTTCCCGCACTTGGGGCACACGTGGGCCCGGGTGCCCGTGTGGGCCCTGCGGTGCTTGAGGAGGCTGGAGTTGTGGCCGAAGAACTTGCCGCACTCGATGCACTCGTAGGGCCGGGCCCCGGTGTGGGTCCTCCAGTGCTCCATCAGGTGGGAGCTCTGGCTGAAGAGCTTCCCGCACTGGCTGCAGGCGTAGGGCCGCTCCCCGGTGTGGAAGCGCCGGTGCTGGGCCAGCGTGTCCTTGCGGCCGAAGGCCTTGCCGCAGTCCCCGCACGCGTAGGGCCGCTCCCCGGTGTGCGCGCGCTGGTGCTGCGCCAGGTGGGAGCTCCGGCTGTAGGCCTTGCCGCACTCGCCGCAGTCGTAGGACCGCTCCCCGGTGTGCACCCGCCGGTGCTGGGCCAGCGTGTCTTTGCGGCCGAAGGCCTTGCCGCAGTCGCCGCACGTGTGATGCGTCCTCCCCGGGTGCAGCTTCCGGTGCGCCCGGAGGTGGGACGGGTGGGCGAAGGCCTTCCCGCACTCCTCACACACGTGGGCGGCCTCCCTGCCGTGAAGCCTCCGGTGGTGAACCGGAGCGCCCATCTCCTGGGACACGCTGCCTCGGGGCAGGCCTCCGCCGAGCCCGGCCCTCTGGTGAGGGCTCAGCCCGCAGTGAGGGGTCCGGGGCCGGAGGAGGCCAGAGCTGCCCAGCAAGTCCATCCCCTCCTCCTCGCAAGGGAAGGGCCCCCCTGACGTGCGGGCAGCACAGCTCTTCCCGAGCGCGGCCCCACCGCCATCCCCGCTGCGGGGGACCCCTGCGCCGCGCTCCTCCTCCTGCGGGTCCGCGTCTGCGCGGCCCGAGGGTCCTCTCGCACCTGGGCCGCGTGTGCACGGTTCCTGCGTGGGGTGCGGTCCCTGGACATCGCCCAGGGGCACAGCGCCCCTGAGGAGCGGGTCACACACCTCCCACGGGTGGGCTCTCTGGACAAAGGGACCCGGCTCGGGCGTCCGGTCCCACGATGCGTCCGCAGGGGCGCGCTGCTCGGGAGGGGCTGCCGCACGGTCGGCGTCTCGCCAGCAACCTGGAAGCGAAGAAACGCTGTGCCGTGCGCGTGGACTCGGCGGGAAGAGCAGCCCTGTCCCCCGTGCGTGTCACACAGCTGGGAGTGGCCACTGGAGCCAGGAGGGGCGAGGGAGGGCCCCCTGTCTGCCTAGGCCCTCCCTCTAAGCATCACAGAATGGATCTCAGATGTCTGGCAGAACAGCAAGTGACCGAGGCAAGAAGTGACCACGGCAACACCTGCAGGCTCTGGCCGAGGGCCCTGGGAATGTCAGCCGAGGACGAGGGCAAACCCGGGACACAGAGGCACCGCCGGGCTGGGCCAGGGGCGCCCGCCGGGCAGAATCCAGAGCCAACTGAGAGAGCTCCACGTCTCCAGCCTGTCCCTTCCGGCTTTGGGCAGCAGGTGGGGGTTCCTCAGCAAGGAAGGGTCCTGCACACGACCCAGCCCTGACCCAAGGGAGGGAGGGAGAGGGTTCATGTCACGGCCCCAACTGGACAGAACCTGGACAGGGACCATGCACCAGGGCGGAGGGGGTGTGGGCAGGCGGAGGCCGCCGGGAAGACTCCCTGGGATGCTCCCCTGATGCTCTTGCCCTGATAAGCTTCCCTGTGGACGGACTGACGACCCGTTTGAAGGAACAGGATAAGGCACAATGGAGGGAGGTCGCTTTCAGGTCAGAAAACGGCGTCCGCCCTGGGCGTGCCCTCTGCTCAGAGCAAGTGCTCCCATGCTGAGGGCGGTGGGGAGGCCGGCCGGTGGCCATGAGGCGGCCTCGGCCAGCGGCCAGGGGAGTTCTGCTCCGGCAACAAGCCGTGGGAGACGGGCCTGTGAACACAGATGCGTGAGTGAGGAAGCGGATTCTCCCCGGACGGGCCTGCGAGGGGCACGCGGCTCAGGGGACAGCGTGGTTGAACCTTCTGGACAGGGACGGCTTGAGCCAGGAGCTCGGGGAGCTGGAACCGGGCTCCCTGCACCGACACAGTAACTGTTCACCGGGGTGAGCCACCAAACGTGGGGTGATTGCCACGCGAACGACTGAGGTGCCGGAGGGGGACTCACCCAGCGAGGACACGAGGGCGAAGTTCTCCAGCATCACGTCGCGGTACAGGCGCCGCTGGGCCTCGCCCAGGAGCCCCCACTCCTCCCGGGAGAAGTACACGAACACGTCCTCGAAGATCACCCAGGCCTGCAGGAGGGGACAGGTCAGCCCCCCGGCAGCAAGGGACTCCTCAGCCCTCCCTGCTCACACGGACACCCCTCCCAGCCCTCCCTGCACCCGGCCTCCCTCCCAGCTCCCCCTGCTCCCAGTCTCCCTCCCAGCTCCCCCTGCTCCGGGCCTCCCTCCCAGCCCTCCCTGCTCCCGCCCTCCCTGCTCCCCGGCCTCCCTCCCAGCCCTCCCTGCTCCCGGCCTCCCTCCCAGCTCCCCCTGCTCCCGGCCTCCCTCCCAGCTCCCCCTGCTCCGGGCCTCCCTCCCAGCTCCCCCTGCTCCCGGCCTCCCTCCCAGCTCCCCCTGCTCCGGGCCTCCCTCCCAGCCCTCCCAGCTGTGTGTGTGTGTGTGTGTGAGTGTGTGTGTGTTTTAAAAAACCAATGGGGGTGGATTAAAAACAACAAACAACAACAACAACACATACCAAGCCCACAGGCTTCTCTAACCCTCCCGGCCACCAGGCACTCTGGTGCCCCCTCCCATCCCACCCGGGGCAGGTGCGGTAGCCTCCCTCGGCCTCCCCGCCCCGCCTCTCCTCCCTGCAGTCAGAGGGAGCCCACGGACTCCCACGGCGGGTCCCCTCCCTCCTCTGCCCACCCTCCCGCCGCCGCCAGCAGAGGCCCCGACGGCGCCCGGGCCGTGACGGGAGCCGGCTCCCTCCCGCTGCCTCCCTCCCGCTGCTCCCGGGCCGCGCCCGCCGCAGCGGGGACCAGGGGCTCCTCCCGCAGCTCCCGGCTCCGGCTCCGGGGGGAAGGAGGGGACAGGGCCGGCGCCCGGGGCCGTGCACACCTCCCGCCGCGGACACCGGGCGCGGAGCGTCGCCTCGGTCGGCGGAGGGGCCGCCGGAGGAGGGAGCGCCTCCCGCCACTCACCGCAGCCGGGTCCGTGGGCGCGGCGGCCGCCATGGGGACCCGCGGCCGGGCCAGGGGCCGAGGTCGCGCGGGAGCCGGGCCCTCACGCTCCGCCTCCTCAGGGAAGCGCCGCCGGGGACCGGGCCGGACCGGGCGCCGGGGCCGCGGGCAGAGCGCCGCCCCCGCGGGCACCTGGGCGCAGGGCCGCCCGCCCCCCTGAGGGGACCATGGCGCGTCCCGCACGCGCGGGGCCGGCGGGGCCGTCCTTCCCCCGGAACCGTCCCTGTGGCTCCGGTCCGAGCAGCCCGCGGCCAGCGGGCCGCGCCCCGAACTCCGAGCCTCAACTGCCCGCCCGAGTGGACTGACAGTGCCGGCGCGGGCTGAATACGTCATGGCGCCGGCGCCGGAAGTCCCGGCTCTGCCTGGCCTGGCGGGCGCCAGGAGACGCCATCTTCCGAGTGGCAGAGACACAACGCGCATGCGCAGGACACAGGCTTCTGGGTAACGTAGTTCGCCGCGCAGGCACCTGAGGTTCTGTTGAGGGCGGCGCCAAGGACTTCCGTGGGGAAATAGCGTCTTAAAGGGGACGCGCCCTATTTCCGTGGGGAGGCGGGGTGGGAGTGGGGGAGAGGAGAGACAGTGCCATGTCCTCCTGCAGGTGATCCATTCCTTAATCCAGGAAGAGGTGCTTCACCTCTCTCATCTTTGGGCACTGGAGACTATTTAGGGGGAGGGAACTGAGATTTAAATTGAGCAAGGGCCTGGCCAGTGTTGCTCAGTGGTTGAGCCTGGATCTATGAACCAGGAGGTCAGGGCACATGTAACAGGTGCTCCTGGGTCCCCAGGAGGGGCCATGCAGGAGGCAGCCAGTTGATGAAGTTCCTCTCTCATCTGTGTTTGTATCCCTTTATCCCTCTCCTTAAAAATCAGTTAAAACAAACCAACCCCCTCTCCCCCATGATATCACCTTACACCTTTAAGAATGGATGCCATCAAGAAGTTAGATTGGTCCCAGGTTCATTCTGGTCAAGGGCACATGCCCTGGCTGTGGGCTCATCCCCAGTGTGGGGCATGCAGGAGGCAGCTGACCCATGATTTTCTCTCATCATTCATGTTTCTCTCTTTCTCTCTCCCTCCCTCCTCCTTCCTCTCTGAAGTCAATAAAAAGTATATTTTAAAAAATTAAATTCAGCAATTCCACTTCTGGGTATAGAGCCAAAGGAAAAGAAAACATGCTACTGAAGAGACATATGCAGCCGCGTGTTTATTACAGCATTGCTCACAACAGCCAAGAAGTGCAGACAGCCTAGGTGCCAGCAATGGATGAATGGATAAAAGGAGGTGTCACACACACACACACACACACACACACACTGGAATATCATTCAACCAGGAGACAGGAGGAAATCCTGTCACATGTGAAACACGGGTGGACCTTGAGGACATTATGCCGAGATGAGTGAGACAGCACCCAGGACAGAGGCTACAGACAATGACATCATCACAACATCGCACGTGGTCCCTGTCCCCACCACAGAGGACACCATGGAGGGGTCCGCTGATGCCGGACGGCCACCACTGTGCAACAGAAACCTATCGGATACATATACTGTCTGTCTTAAACTTACACAATATCGTGTCAATTTTATTATCTCAGAAACAACAAACACGTCATACATGGATCGGAGGCCTTGAATGGTCTTAACCCGCACAGCACAGCCCGCCCCGCACAGGTGAGCACGTATCTCCTTAGATACAGCGTGGATCAGGGAGCTCTCCCGAGGGCCCTAAGGCTCCATAGATGACCTTTTTAGGCCCTAAGGTAAGGTGACCAGACGTCCCCATTTCTAACAATTTGTCCCGCGCCGTTTTAAAAAAGTCCCGATTTTTTGGCCGAAACCGGTTTGGCTCAGTGGTAGAGCGTTGGTCTGCGGACTGAAAGGTCCCAGGTTCGACTCCGGTCAAGGGCATGTACATTGGTTGCGGGCACATCCCTGGTAGGAGGTGTGCAAGAGGCAGCTGGTCGATGTTTCTAGCTCTCTATTTCTCTCCCTTCCTCTCTGTAAAAAATCAATAAAATATATATATTTTTTAATTTTAAAAAATAAAAAAAAAATTCCCGATTTTTTGAAAAAATCGGGACTTTTTTAAAACGCTGCTGGATGTGGGACAGATTGTTGGAAATCGGGGCTGCCCCGCCAAAAGTCGGACGTCTGGTCACCTTACCCTAAGGGCTCCATAAATGAGCTGCTTTAGGCCCTAAAGCCTCATAAATGAAGTCTCCACATTGACCAGACTTGCGCTCCCCACAGCCCTGACAGCGTTTGCAACCAAGGAAGCTTTCAGGGAACACCCCTGCGTGCTCTGGGGGGGAGGGCAGAGGGTCAGGTGAAGGGAGGAGGCCATTTCACCCCAAGTCCCGCTGTCCCCGCCCCCAGCAGCATCCCGAGGAACTGCCCTGGGCAGGGAACCGGAGAGCAGCCCCCGCGCTCTCCCTTCTGTCATATCCCCCTTCCCCCGCCGCCACTTCACGCCAGGGAGGAGGGAGGGCGCTCAGGGGGGGACCCTCAGGGGAGAGGGTGTAAGGATGGACACAGCCCGGCCGCATGGCTCCGTGGGTGAGCGCCGACCTTTGACCCAGGAGGTCAGGGTTCGAGTCCCCATCAGGGCACAGGCCCAGGTGGCAGGCTCCATCCCCAGTGTGGGGCGTGCAGGAGGCAGCCGATGGTTCTCTCTCATGAATGTTTCTCTCCCGCCCTTCCTCTGAAAAACAATTACAAAACTATACACACACACACACACGGATGGAACAGTGTGAGGAGGGGAGGCTCGGTCTGCCGAGGCCAAGGCCGAGGCCCTGTGACGGCCGAGTGCAGTGGAAGGGCCGCAGAGGTCTGGCTGCAGCCGGACATTCGTCTTGAGGAGAAAGCAGGCACGTGGACAGCCGCCCGTTAGAGGGAAGAAGCCAAGAGCAGACGAGACCCAGAGCCGGGGTGGAGGGTGGGGACAAGGAACCCCAGGTCAGGGCCGGACTGCGCACAGCCGGACACGAGCCAGGAGCTCAGCGGCCGCTGCACCGTCCCCCACGCCCGGGGCCAGAGGCCCAGTCGGAACCGGGGCACGCACCCGGGCTGCAGGTTCGATCCTCAGCGGGGGCGGGTACGAGAGGCACCTGATCCACAAATCTCCATCACATCCACGTTTCTCTTTCTACAAACATACCCTCAGGTGAGGGTGAGAACCAATCCCACCAAATCCCATGGGGCCGAGGAGCAGGATGGGTTAGCCACGGACGCTGACAGAAGTCCCTGGGACACGCCTCACAGCGGACAGCTGGTGTCCCGTGGGCCGGCCTCGACGCGCCTGGAGCCACACGTCCCACGGCGCCCGGCCTGCCCGTCTCCTCCGTGGGGCCTGGAGCTGCGCCCCCTTCCCAGGAGCCCGGGCTCTGCGCCTACTCCGAGTGGGTGCCCGCAGGGGACCGCGACACGGCGAGTCCTGAGGGGAGAGAAGGCTGGTGAGTGGCCGGCAGGGACCCGGGTGACCTCCCCAGGGAGAGGAAAGGGAGTATTAGGAAACATCTGGTGCCCTGGCCAGTTTGGCTCAGTGGATAGAGTGTTGGCCTGGGGAAGGGTCCCAGGTTTGATTACGGCCAAGGGCACAGGCCCGGGTTGTGGGCTCCATCCCCAGTAGCGGGCGAGCAGGCGGCAGCCGATCCTCTCTCCCTCTCCTTTTCTCTCTGAAATCAATAAAAATATTTACAGCCGAAACCGGTTTGGCTCAGTGGTAGTGCATCGATCGGTCTGCTGAATGAAAGGTCCCAGTTTCGATTCCGGTCAAGGGCATGTACATTGGTTGCGGGCACATCCCCGGTAGGGGGTGTGCAAGAGGCAGCTGGTTGATGTTTCTCTCTCATCGACGTTTCTAGCTTTCTAGCTCTCTATCCCTCTCTCCTCCTCTCCGTAAAAAAATCAATAAAATATATTTAAGTAAATAAATAAATAAATAGAAATATTTAAAAAAAAAAACACACATAAAAACAAAAGAACTTTTCTATTGAGAGAAGATGGCAAAAAAAAAAAAATGACAGGAAGTAACTTCTGGAAACGGATCACAAAAATAAGAAAATCTATCTCGGACATTGTCTCACGCTCTCAGACATCAACTGCCTCGTTTCCTGCTCATGAAGACAGCACAGCAGGAAACCGGAAGGGCCCCGGCCGGTGTGGCTCAGTGGATGGAGCGTCGGCCTGCGGACTAACGGGCTCCGTGACATTCGACCGGGTTTGATTCCGTTCGAAGGCACATGCCTGGGTTTCGGGCTCAATCCTTAGTGGGGGGGTGTGCAAGAGGGAGTCAGTCAATGATTCCCTCTCATCACTGATGCTTCTAGCTCTCTCCCTCTCACTTCCTCTATGAAACCAAGAAAAACATATTTAAAAAAAAAAAAAAGAAAAAGGAAAAAACTGAGGATGCGCTATGACCAGCCCCCCGATTCGATGTATGACCTTGAAGGGAGCTTCGCCCCCAGCCTGAGCCGGGAGGAGAGACCGCAGCCCGGACAGCGTGGACCCCGAGGTCACAGAGGCCTCGCGCTGCAGGTGCCCATGGGACGTGCCCGAGGCGTGACCCAGAGAACCTGCGGGATAACCCAGAAGCCGGGGGAATTCCCGGAGCAACAGGTGCCCGAGGGGGACTCACCCAGCGAGGACACGAGGGCGAAGTTCTCCAGCATCACGTCGCGGTACAGGCGCCGCTGGGCCTCGTCCAGGAGCCCCCACTCCTCCCGGGAGAAGTACACGAACACGTCCTCGAAGGTCACCCGGGCCTGCGGGAGGGGACAGGTCAGCCCCCCGGCAGCAAGGGACCCCTCAGCCCTCCCTGCTCCCCGGCCTCCCTCCCAGCCCTTCCTGCCCACACGGTGAGCGGAGGCCTGGAGGTGAGGCCGGGTGCTCAGACCTCTAGAGAGGTGAGATAATCCTCGTGTTTTCAACCCATAAGCTTTGGGGGGGAAGGGGGCCTCGGATGGTCCGGGTACAGTACCGTGTGGTCGG